CTTAGAAATACGTATCTACATTTTCGATTTTGTCAAAAATGGATTTCATTACTAATCAGGATTTTTGTTCGATTTATGTTCCAGGATCACATGGAAAGGAGTATTTTCCCACGCCGTTTTCCGACTTCCGCGCGAGGACGCCCGCGCGACTTGGTGCACCGGGCACGGAGAGACGCCAATCGAGTTGAAAAAAAATACAAAAAATTGTAGTTCAAAGGATGACTAATATATGGGTTATAACATATTTGCCCTCTCTGAGTGTTTTATTGCTTAAAAAAATTAACGAAAATGCCTTACTTTTTGGACGTTCAAAGTGTACTACCCCCTTAAGGTGAGGATCTCATTCAAATTGCCAAAAAGTAAGCAAAGTTTGGCATTTTTTTTTCTCAAAAATCTTAGAACTTCGTCTTTATTCCAAATTTTTACAAGGCAAAAAAACCAAAATTGCGCCTGTGGTCACGTTTTGTACGCTTGAAATTGTCAAACTGCGTACAGCCGATTAATGAGGATTTACAGTGAACTGAGTTCATTGGAGGAATGATCTAAGAACGGGTAAATAACTTCAAATTTGACAAAATGGTGCGATCTCAAACTTTTTGGTCTATAAGGCTTCAGAAAAAATAGTGAATACAAAGAATTTGTTGATTTTATAGGTCATTCCTCCAATGAAAAAGGTTTGCTTTCAAATATTTTTTTTTATTTTCGTTGCGGTAAACTTCTCCTTAATCAAGCCGAAGGTGGCGTTGCCATCATTGTTCATAGACGTATCAAATATCAAATTATTTCTCCATTTGGAACCAAAGTTTTTGAATCTTTTGGAGTTTATGTCGAAACAAGATTTGGCCAACCTGCGGATATAGCTGCCTATTTTCCATTCCAATCCGTAAGGTCAGCACAATAATGTTCTTAGGGGTGAACTTCAGAAACTTACCCGTCATAGGCTTAAATTCTTCATTATTCGTAAATTTATTGCAAAACACCGCTCTTGGAATAATGCTCAAAGCAATTCAAATGGTAATATTCTGTTTGATTATTATTCTGCAGGTTATTAGACTATTCAACATCAAAATAGCCCAACATGCTTTTGTTCAGCAATTTAGTTTTTAGTTTTAAGATGTCAACTGTTATACTGACATGCAGGTAAATTGTAAAAACAAAACAAAAATAACATAGTTTTGGATTACAACTCCACGTTTTGAATCTACCTTTAATCCAATTCCACGTGAGGATCCGATTACTTAGTTATTATTTTTAAATAACAATGCTACTGTATACCGCTTGAACTTTAGCTCATTGATAGCCTAAAAATATTCAATAATTCTCAGATTAACACTGTTTGCTGGATTCAAAAGGGGTTTGACGCTGAGGGGCAGCGGGACATAATGTTGTTGATGTTTACTGTTTTCCCAGCAGGGATTTAATGATGTTGCGATTGTTTTGATAATCCTTTGACCACCGGCTGATGGAATATGTTTATCTTGCTAAGCATGTTTACAGCCCATTAAAATATTAAAATTGACATGATGGCCACCACTGATTCGCAGCATGATACCGCAATTGCAATCTATCACACGCTGTCATCTAAATATTAGTTTAAAAAGAAAAGCAAATACAATTAAACCATATCATCACGATGTTCTACCAGCAAGGCAAACCACAAGAAATGATGCAATTACAATGGTTGTCATAATAATAATTAAAAAAAAAAAGTCTCGACTCTATTTGGAAGATACATCGAAAGGTAGCCCACGGGTGGTATACCGCGAAAAGCACGCGATAAACGTTGTGGTAATTCCGATACAGGTAGGATTTTGTTATAATGCCTCGTCCTGCTGGGGTGTGGCCGCACGGTTGCAATTATGGGAAGCAAACTGTTCACCGCACCATTGCCTACGGTCGGTTGGTGTTGTGCGATGTTGGGCAATTCGCCACGGGCAGTTTAACCTAATAAGCTTCAGAGCTGTTTATTTTCGGAAGTGTGCGGTGCATCGCATCCGATCAGACAGCTCTCCCGGCTATGAGCGAGCATTATACAGAAGAAAGGCACACGCATATGAGTGGAATGTCGAAGGTTCGTGAAAAAATATGAAAATCCTCTTTGTTTATATATTTCTGGTCAACCGCGTGGATTTGGACGCTTTCATCGGATTCAGATTTCAGCTACTTTCCTAAAATTCATCCCGAACAATGCAAAAGGCCCTTAGTAACGTTGATCAGTTCTCTTCTTTGACTTTCTTTTCCGTTAGCTCTTCGAGCACCACTTTAAAAATGATTTGGGTACACGGAAACAAATCCGATTCCATTTACATCGCTGCCTCTGGATAGTGGGTTTGACGGTGGTTCAGCAAGAATAATATGTAATTCATATACAAATATTGTGAAATATGTTTTTAGTCCTTTTAAGATTCTTGGTGGGTCACACCTCCGACCTGGTTGGAGCAACAGTGTCGCATGAAGTAACAACGACTGCCTGCCTCTGAGGTCGGGGGGGACCGGCAGCGCTCACTACGGGTCTATACTAACATCACTCTAACACTAACAAGACCCCGAAGCTAACGACTATCCACACCTATTAGTGGTGCCTCATTTAATGTGTCATCACTGTCATCCTTAGTTATTTTGATACTAACAAGTCAATACTTTTTACCACTTGTTACAACGTTGTAAGTAATATTAGCCCTGTTATACTTTGATATCTTTTAGTCTGATAGATTCTTCTTCCACATCCGATCCCATTTCATCGCTCGTAGCAAGTTTTGTTAGACTGTCTTGATCTCTTCTAGTCTAATCAATTCTTTTTCCAGATTCTGTCTCATCCTCTCTCTAATTGCGCACCATAAATAAACAAGTAAACAGACACAATAAATGGGTTACAAAACATGTCCACTTATAGTATCTAACCTTAACTTTCTTTCTTTCCATAACACAATGAACGAGTGAGACGTACGGAAATGCAACAAACGTGTCAAATTAACTGCATTGGTAACGAAAACACAGAGGAGCGTACACCTGATGTCACACACTAAGGTGATGGTAATAAGGTCGGTGATAATATGACATTTACACAAAAGCGGAGATCAAATCAGATTGGTCAACGTACCAAAATTCGAAACTTCGATTAAAACGTGGAATCTGTGCAGCACCAGTGGGGAACACTCAAAAGCTGCAGGTCTCATCAACCGCTGCCTGCGGCATATAACTTGTGGCTGGTGGCCTCACAAATGGATCTCAGACGTCAATGTCATCAGAAGCCGATAGCAATAGAAACGAAGTCTGAAGTCAAGCGTTTGATTATGAATTAAATCCGCCAGAACATCGCAGCAAAGGCAAATACTAAGGCGGCGGAGCGTCAACAAGTAAATTAAGCAAGCCGATAGGAATTTGACCTGGGCCCAGGTCAAGCAGCTGCCCATGAATAGAAGTCTTTCACGTTCGCCCTGTGCACCTCTGGAGGTTCCCAGGTATTTTAGAACGACGACGATGGACGTTGCCCCTTGGAACGGAAATGAAAGCAAACAAACCTGATGTTGCACAACAAGCCGGCGGGTTTTTTTGGTTCTTTTTATTTCTTTTCAGCAAAACAACAAAATCCTGTATCTCTCTTCTTTATTCTTTTAATCTCTTACTATCCCCTAATCGGACGTTAGTGGGACCAAAAAGCCTGCTAGTGAAAGGAAAGTCGTTATACTATACGGTCTAGCATAGACCACGACTAAATTTCCGTATGTTTATGCCTGGCCTAAGTGCAGATCGGTAAGCAGCAGCCAGCCAGGGTGTGAACTGAGCAATTCCATTTTCATAAATAAAAATCATGAAATGAAAAAAACTTGCCATCCCATGAAATCGTAACAATTATTCATGATTTCGTCATGGATATTCATGATTTCATAATGCAGTGGAATCAAGACCGCTACAAGCGTTACACGTACTTGGCAAACGGTGTTCATAAACCGCACTGCATAGGTACAGTGCGCAAAACAGTCAGGTTCATTGAGTCATTTTGATATGAATATGAACTGCCATCTGCCTCATCATTCACTGCCTCGTGAGAGTCTGAATGATTCAGAGGTAAACGAGTCACTGACAGCCGAGCACTCAGTCAGTAGCTCAGTCAATACGTTTATTCTGCCATGATGGTTCCCAATATTTGTTTTGAATGACTGAGCGTGCACATCACACTAAATGGCTACTATAGGTGAAATGTCATAACAAGATAGCTTATGTAACGTAATATCAACTCTAGACTGAACTTGGCTTAATTTGCACCAATTTTCCTATGATCCCTTACATTTGAAACATTGTTGTGCCATTTTGAAAAATGAATCGATTCAAAAGATCGATTCAAAATGATTGATTTAATTGGTGAATCGATTATTTTCAAAAAATGAATCGATTCTAGCCTCAAGATCGCTCAATGCTAATGTCAATGCGGTCAAATGCCTTGCTACACAGAAAATGAAAATTACCCAAAGCTTGAGTTTAAACAACCCAAAATTAAGTAAAAGCGTTATAGTATCCCATTGGGTAAAAATCAATGTGTTATGATGGTTAATTTTAACTCAACGGTTGAGTAATACCTATATTACCTAAAGATGAGTAAAATCCAAACGGAAATTTTGTGGGCCTAAATTTACTCAACGCTGAGTAACTTACCATAAAGCTTGCGTTGAGTGAAAATAACTCTGAGTTGGATGAAAAAAATTCCAGTGCATTATACTTCCACGACGACGCCATTTGTGATTTTGCTCCCTTCGAACGAACACACGCGTGCGACGTCCGGAAGTTTTTTCATCGGTTATTCCCCCGTGAGCCGGTTCCTTCGAGACCATTCGACCCGATTCGACCGACGTAATCTTGTAAGTGGCGAACCCGCAGCGCTAGTGGAGCAGATAATTAATTCCGTTTCTTTTGTGTTCTTTTATTTTAAGATATCCGGCACTTGCAGCTTCCAGCACGACATTCGTGGCTTGATTTTCGTCCGGTGGCGACCATATATAAAGATGGAACAACTAAAGAAAAAGTTGGATGATGGAAGCTTTGATAAGTTAACTGGTGAGTACATCCATTTGTTTTATTCTTTGTTTTCATTACATTGACTTTATTGGCTGGAGTTCACCTGAGTCCACAATTAAAAACATTACTTAGGGGTAAGTGGGGGCAATATGGCCACCCGTATAAAAAACAACTATTTTAATATTTTTGCACAACAATTTCATTCAGACTTAAGTTTGAAGTCTTCTGAAGCCATTTAATCCATTTTTGTCGAATAATTTACGCATCGAGCATAAGACAGACAATTTTGTTGGTTGCAAAAAAGATCGTTTTATTTTATATGCATAAAAAAAGAAATAAAGCACATTTTGTGCATAATATGACGGAAATTAGATCTTAGCCCTAATACCATAATACTCTTAATTTTTTTATGTTGAAGGTTTTCATTGTCATGTGCAAGAATGTGGACAGTTCGTTAAAGGATACATCGACGACCTCAAAAACCATTTTGTCGTGGTACACGGATTACCAACATGTATTCAAGCGAATTTGCCGTTTAAATGCTCGTTATGTGGATCGATGTATTCATATTTTTCACACGTGCTCAAAAACCATCCTATGTCAGGTTTCGAGATCATGCCAACAAATTCATCCGTTGTTGAACCACTGCTTTCTGATAAAAAAAAAGTCGAAGATTATTCAGCTTCGAAAATTAAAAACCCACATTTTTTTCAAAAATCAGTCAGTGTTGAAGAGATAACTTCTTCGATATCGTCACTAATTACAGACCTCAGATGTGACGTTTCACTGTAAGAAGTCAAAATAAAGACATTCATGAAAGGTTATTTATCGATATCAAACTGGATTCAACAGTTTAGCATGACAAAAATTAAGGAATTTTTGACTTCAAAAAACATGTTAGAAGATGTTGAAGCTGTGCAACTGATAAATGAGCTGGAAATTCCTGATTTGATGGCTGATGTTAGGACACCAACCGACAATATAGCTTACTTGGCTGGAAAGGTTGGTCGCTCTATTCCGGAGCCAATCGAAATTATTTTGGGAAAACGCAGACATATAAAACGAGTCGTGACCTGCCGAAAACGAGAATAAAAGTTTCAACGGAAGATTCGACAGCGACAATATGTATCCAAAGTAAGATCCCAGAAGGACGTCTTACACTTCATTCCTGTTTCGCAAACGCTTCGCTTAATTATGGCCAACCCGAAAGCAAGAGAAATGGTCAATGATGAACCAGTGAGAACCGATGATGGAACGTTACAATCATACAAACATGGAGAGAAATTTGGAAATCACCCCTTTCTTCAGCTGTACCCCACTTGCTTGAGACTTTCCATACACATTGATGAGGGAGAATATTCAAATCCCTTAGGATCACGCAAAGGAAAAAATAAGCTGACAAACATCTGTTTTAAAATACAGAATTTCGGTCCTAAAATAAATTCTTCCCTTGATCGCGTTTATCTGACATTGATGGTTAAGTCAAGTGTACTTAAAAAATACGAGTAAGATTTACCTAGATATAGTTTGCATGTTTTATTTCTACTAACTAACTAACCGCACTACTATAATTAACCTGTCCTGGATAAGAAGTCTTCGTTGTAATTTTACCAAAGCTGGCGCAATAAATGTTCATCAACTTTATAAAGCAATCATCAGAAATATTCTGAAAATTATTGATAATTTTTCCCACAATTTTCATTATTTTATGTTTATACACTACCGCGATCCATTCAGTGTATTGCCCATCACAGTGTACTCCACGATAGTGTTTTTGCGACGATGTTTTATAGTGAGAAGTGTTCAATGTGTTATGTCTGTTTGTCTGTGGAGGAAGCATTGCTAAAATTATAGAGACTTTGAAAATGTCGACACAGTACGTCGAGTTCTCGCGCAACACGAGAAAAGGGCCCATCATTGTTGATCGATTCTCTTCATCGATTTTCTCTTTCGCGAATAACCAATGCAAATGATTTTTCCATTGAGTGTGTTGTTTCAGGCGCAAGCTAACATTATCTTGTGCCGAACAGTGCTGCGAGCTTAGCGAGAAATTCGTTAATGTTGTTGTGGTAAACCAAATAGAAAGTCGATGAAGAGAATCGATCAACGAGGATAGGCACTTTTCAAATGTTACGTGAGAGTTGACTGCATCATTTCTAGATAAACATTTCAATAGGTCCTATCTGCATTGATCGATTCTCTTCATCGACTTTCTCTTCCATTAATAATTCAACTTCAAAAGCATTCTATGCTGTGTTCAACGTGCTTAGCACAAAATAGAAACTTCAGCTATCAAACTGAGTGGCAAAAATAGCATCAAATGCATTTGCCTAGGCGTGGTTATCAAAAGAGAATTTCGATAAAGAGAATCGATCAAAGCAGATAGGACCATTTGAAATGTTCATCGAGATTTGGCTGTTATAACCAAAATTATACAATTTTTATTATTCTACTTTGCTTGACCATTTTACAATTTCATTACGTTTTTTAAGAAACCAGAGATCCAAATTTCTAGTGAAGGGACAGGTTGATTTTTCAGACCATACGCATGTATTAATAATTAATGTATTAATGTATGCATAGTATAGTGCTGCACAACAAAACTTATTTCAGCCTTTTTTTTCGCTAGGTACCAAAAAGTACTTCAACCTTTGATAGACGATCTATCCAAGTTGGAATCGGAAGAGGGAATTCCAGTAAAAATTGACTCTGGAATATGGACATTGCGAGCACACAGCAAAAAAATAATTTTGATATCACATCAAAGTGGATGCACTACAATCATGTCGAAAATTTCATGTAATTTTTATGACCACATAAATAAACAAATGCAGTAAAAGCAGCGTAATGTCAGTTCATGCATTGTATTAATGATAATTTTGTCCTTTTTAGCAAGTAATATTACACCATATTTTCGACATGATTGTAGTGCATCCACTTTGACGTGATATCAAAATTATTTTTTTGCTGTGCAGTTCTTGTTGACGTACTCGGGGATACGTTAGCAATTCATGATATCTACGGAATGTTAGGACCATCTTCGAATATGTTCTGCAGGGCTTGTGAGATAACGAGAACAGATTTACTTTCAGGAGAGTTAAATGATAAATTTACACCAAGAACAGTAGAATCTGTTGAGATCGCTTTGATTGCTTCTGAGATGGGTCAAGCCCCATCGAACGTTTATGGTATTAAAACTAATTGCGTCATTCACAAGCTTAAATATTTTAGATGGCCCGCTTCGCTAACATTCGATCCTATGCACGATCTTTTGGAACTCCCTCGTGTTCCAATGGTGCTAAAACTAATTTTCAAAAGCTTTGTCTTTCAAAGCAAAACACTCACGGTGCAAAACCTCAATGTGATGATAGCCAACTTCGGCTATGGTGACACTGAAAATGATAAGCCTTCAAATAACTTTACCGAGCTCAATCTGAGAAGCAAAAATAATAGACTCAGTCAATCGGCTGCTCAATGCTGGCTTCTTCTACGTGCCTTTCCATTCACCTTTCACAAAATGCTACAAACAAATTTAAAGTATGGACAGATAATCTCCATTTTACTTCGAATCACGTACCTCAGTTTTTCGAATAAACTTACTGAAGAAATGATACAAGATTTGTCAAATTCTGTTAAAATATTTCACAGTTTATTTAAGAATTGTTTTCCGTTGACGAATGCAATTAATAAAATACACCATATTGCGCATTATGGACAAGTGTGTCGAGAAAGCGGCCCAATAGCAAACTTCAGTTGCATGATGTTTGAAGCAAAGTTCAAAGAATCGAAAAGCCAAAGTAAAACTTGTGGAAACTTCAAAAATTTATCATACAGTCTCACGAAAAGATTAAATTTGAAGCAAATCAACTCCATTCTGAAACATGAGGAAGGACGTCCTACCTGAAGATCGTCAATTTCGTCGTACTAAAAAGGACAAAACTGCTGCTACAAAAAAGTACTGATCATAAGCATTCCGAAATTATTAATACATTTCCTCACTTTCTTGCATACGAAGGTGAAATGGTAAGTGCTTTTATTTATTTATTTCTAATTCATCTATATTACTATTCTAATTCATCTATATTGCTATATTTAATAGATCATACAAGCATTCGACAGGCTTCACGAAAAGCAACTCCATGGGGACCTTAAAACACTACTCCGTGTTGGGTTACTGTTTGATAACAGTACTTGGACTGAAGTGGAAGATGGTAAATATGCTCAAAAGGTTCACAATTATTACAAAAACGTATTTTTTTTATCCTTTTCCATTTAGAATACGTCCGAGGAGCTCTACGGATTTTTAAGAAGCTTTTCAATAGAGGTATTAAGAGAAGTACCAACATGGAACATGCATCCACGGATGAAATTTTTGTTACACCTCTGATAAGATGGGTTCAGTTTGTTGGAAACGATGTTGGCTTCGATGAGTTGCTGGCGGTGAAACAATCAACAACATCATTTATCGATCCCAGTGTTCACTCGGCTGTCGACAAAAGCAGGCCACTCTCGATGTGTGCTACGCGATCGTCTGTTTTCTCGGCAGCAACCATTGTGTGGTCCTCCTCATTGTTCTTCATCAGCAGTTCTTTCGGTCGATGCGTCGTCGACTTTGCAAAGCAACCGTTTCGTGATGAGTGTGTGAGTGCTGACCACGTTTTGCGTCCATTGATGCAATGGACGCGCTCTGACCCTCGTTGGCGTACAACAATTTGCCATACAATGAAACCACTGGAAGCGGCTCCAGTTCTGATGGAGGAGGCTTTTTGGATAGCGGAAGATAAAGTGTTTATTGTGTTGTACCTTTTGACTATAGTTTTAAGATGTATTGTATAGTGACCAAGAATCCTCGGCTCTGTAAAGTTAATTCGGTTGAGCCTTATCAAATAAATTAATAAACAAAAAAAAAAAAAATTTATCGATCCCCATATTGTTTGTGTAGCAAACCGTTACAAGCGCGGTAACGTGTACGTTACGTTCAATAAATTTATAATTTCTTGTGGCATGTCAGCCATTCGTGCCATCGAAGTGCTTTTCAAATGCTTGCCTTTGTTTGGCCTAAAAGCACCCGTGTTACTGCGCAAACTAAACGATATGCTTTCAGTTAATGTCTTTGGCACAATTCAATCCAGCAAATGTAAAACAGTAACAGATTTAACTGCACGCTACAAGGAATTTTCGCATAACTTAACGAATGATGACTGATCGATATTAAATGTAACATGCCGATGAAGTCGAAGCTGAAACAGTTAAAAATGTAAAATGAAAAATGAATGGTAATAAATTAGTTGTTATCCTCACGGATTTTATTGTTCTCAATTTTATCATTCGGAATAATTATGTGCTCGTTAAACTGCGAGCGTCCCTTTTCATGAATCATTTGTTTTCCGAGGAAAATGTGCCTGGTAAAATAACCTACCATTGGGGTAATTTTACCCAAAAATAGGTTGTTTATCTGAAGAAAAAAATCCCGGTAAAATATCCCATTGTTGAGTTAATTTGACCCAAAGCTAGGTTTTTTTATTGCAAAAAAATTCCTGGTAAAATAACCTAGCGATAAGTTAAATTTACCCACAATTAGGTTTTCCCTTATTTATCAAATTCACCCACTGTAGTCTTTTCGATCATTTACCCAAAATTAGGTTTTTTCATGTTTACCCAAAATTAGCTTCTCGTACGGAACTTCGAGGTTGAGTCAAAAGAACTCTAATTTGGGTAGTTTTGAATTTCTGTGTAAAGTTTGTATAGGGGGCTTCTATGTGGTTTCCATTATCCATTGCATTCAATGAATAGTTCAGTGCCAACATTTCAAAGGGGCGTAATTGTTTTTGTAAACAATGACTTTAGCCGTCAATTTCTCGCGAATGAAATCTTACCTCTCCAAAATTACAATGCTAGCTGGTAGAGGAAACATTCATCTACCTGCTGGTGTCATTATTTTTCATGAGTGAGCTTTTATTCGCGAGAAATCGACGGCTAAAGCCATTGTTTACAAATGCAATTACGCCCCTTTGAAATGTTGGCACTGAGTTTATAAATTCAAGTAAATTTGTCGAGGTCGAACGACCCTTGAAGAAGCCGTGCTGCACGTCAGTAATTCTATTTTTGGTTTGGAGAAATATTTTTTTTGTAGACAATTGCTTCAAAAAGTTTAGGAATGCAAGAGATGATGGATACAGGGTTGTTCCCACTCGCTGGCTATAAAAAACTGTTTTTCAGAATTATAAAATCATTAGTTGATAAAAGGATAATTCAAGAGCAAATTTTCATTACGTCGAAAGTAACAAAGGTAAACAAAGTCGAGCTATCAGTGTCAATCGATGCTCCTGCTATTACACTATATTCTGTCCGAATATAGGATCACATTTCATTTTAAAATTTATTTACCAGTCAAATTGCTTTTTGACGTAATCACCTTCCGATCAAAATAGTTTTGGATGTTACTTAAGTCACCCGATTTCTATGGAGATGCCGTTTGACTTAAGTAACAGCGCTGAGAAACCCGTGAAAAGTGTACGTTCGTCGTTTCGCTTTCTCATTATTAAAGTGAATAAATCGAACTGTTTGTTGCTAAGATGATTTCGGTGGTCCTAAAATGATGAATGGGCTGCACGTAAGGAGACGTAATTGATAATTCTCCCGAATATCCTGGTAAATACACTTTGACTTAAGTAACAATAGGGGCCACCAAACGACGTATAATAACTTTTGACTCAAAAACCAGTATTTTTTAGCATGAAAGCTAGCGATTTGCATTTGTATGATTAAAATCCGGCTAAATATGTTAAACATTGCAATCACTATGAGATTATATGTGCTTAATTGGAAATAGGAATAACTTTTCGGTTATCAAAACAAAACTTATTTTTTCTCGGATCGGTGCGAATGTTACTTACGACATAATGAAAATTTGCTCTTGAATTAGTACTTGAAAGTTACAAGAAAACGTTGTAAAGTACGTGTTTGACGCAAACAACCTGTCAATTTTGCTTTCATAGCGTCACAATCAGCAATTTTATGATTCGTCAGCGTTCACTCAGAGTGACCGCTCACGAATCGTAAAATCGCTTATTACGACACCCTGAAAGCGGAATCGACAGGTTTTATGAGTCAAGCACATCCGTTTCAACCTCTTCTAGTAACTTACAGGTACATTATATCATTATATAACATCTAATGATTGCATAATTCCGATAAACATTTTTTATAGCAATGGAGAGGAAGCAACCCTGGATGGATATTCTACGATAATTACGTACGTCAAATTTTCGACCAGGTTTAAAAATAGGCACTAGAAATGAGTTTTTCAATATTCTTGGGAAGGTTCCGGATTCCAGGGACATATTAAAAAGCCAACACAATGAAGCAGTGAGTTCTCGTAAGTTCTTTCTGCTTTTAGAACGTATAGTTAATGTTGACCCTCCCGACAGGTAGTTAATGCCATATGGACGAATACATAGATTTTTTTTTTTCATTTCATAGCATTCAAAGTAAATATTATCATCCAATGGGGAGACTTAATCTACTTAAGGTGGGAATACTTAAACCATAGCAATATCCTCTGGGCCTTTCAGCTAGGCCATTGCAGTTCGTGATACTATTATGATCGGCAATTGACTTTATTATTCATTATTGTGCAATTGGATGTCAACCAGTCAGATCTAATCCAATGTCGTTATTTGTTGATGCGGAAAATACTCTTCGGGCTGTGATTTTTTTTAAATTTACTTGAATATTAGATACTAACCCATGTTTTATAAAACATGAGATCATGTCTCACCATGGTAGGGATACTTAGTCCGCTTTTCCAAATTTCTCAAAAATTATTTCAACTTCACTAAAAATATTTTTTTTCATCTGCTATGGGCATTGAAGTGTGTCTTAGTAACGATTCTTCGATGTGACATGTCAAAAGATTGAATTAACACAATAGAGACATCTCCCTCTTCTCTCCTCTGAATAATTATTGATCTAAAGTGATAATGGCACCGAGCGCACCGTTTTAAAAATTCATGTACATTTCTGCGAGATATAGCGCACATAAAATTAACGCTGGATTTCGCGTAAATTTATGCGATATTTCAAGTAAATTTAAGTGCAATATCGCATAAATTATCAATATTGCAAGCCAGCTGTAAACGATTTCGTTGTTCATGCCAACTATAGCTCAACATTAAACGGAGGGAGATTTTACGCGGTAGTTAAAATTCAGTTTTTTTTTCTGTGTGCGAATATAAACCTTATCCTAATTAACCAGAAGCAGACATTTTTTTCCATTTCATTACTAGGTTACAGTCGATATATGTAGTAGTGGTAAAGCAATTTATCTATCCCACATTCAAACCAAATTTGGTTCAGTGTAAACCACCTCCTGTATAACCAAGAAACAGTTCTCTGTGGTTTGCTTCTTATCCGCACCAGTAGGGGTGTGGTTTCCGTTTGCCTCCTGTCAGCCCTTGGGCATTTCAACATGCCCATTCATCATGCAGAACTTCAGGAATAAATAATATTCCAACAGCCTCTTGCGCTTTAAGAGAAGACTTAGTTCGTACAGCGTCGCTTAACCAGCTCTCGCTTGATGTGTGGTGTTGGTCTGATGTACATATGGAAAATGGAAGAAGTCTCTTGTGTCGGAAAACTTTCTTCTTGTTAGGTTAATTATTCGACCAAAGCAGCCGCTTGAATGCCTTGGTTGACGGAGATGAAGCACCATGTAAGAAGCACACACCACACCCAACGGGCACAGACTGGAATCGATCCGCTGTATACACGATGAAATCTCAATTATCATTAGTTTATTGCCAACCCTTCAATAGAGCAACCTGGGGCACCAAGCCATCTTTTCCCATCAGACCAGCAGTATCCGACCACTAATGTTGAACATCATTAAACTTCCACTACGTGTCACAGCGCCGGTACAACAAGTCTTATAAATAATTCAACCCCGGAATGACAAGTTTCCAGTCCGAGTATACATTATGAGCTCCGTCTTCGCAATCCATGACTGAACTCTGATGCCGTACGAAGAGACACCAGCAGGTTGGATAGGTCCTAGCTACATGGGCCTCGGCAAGTGCAGGATCCTTGGCCGGTTGCAGTTTTGCTGCGACAAAAGAGGAACACAACTTGTGATATTACACTTTCTCACGGATTGAGAACCATTTCATGTGAGTATGTACGTACATATATGTCTGTACAGAGAAACTTGTCCTTTGGGTTTAACTTGCCTCTTCTTCCGTTGCTTTCCGAATCGTGTACAACATGGCACACCCGGCAAACATTGCACACTTCTAGGAAATGCTCAAGAGACCACCAGCACGAAAACGCTTCGTAAATCATTCAATGAGGCCAAATTAACTCAACACGTGGTGTTATGTATATCGTCGCAGAGCGTGGGAGTTGGGGAGCGAGTGTGCTTTGAATGTTTCTGATATTTTGCGCCTCTAAGATTCATTAAAATGCAATTAAATATATTAAGTGATCAACAAGCCCGTGAGATAAATACTGGCACTTTCGCGACTCTGTAGTTGCCATTTTAATTTGAAAAATAGAGTCAGGCGCACCGTTCTGTTCTGGAAATATGCATACTAACCGCATAAAGAATTTTCAGTAAATTGATTGATGATCTCAAGGTACAGTGTATCTCAAAATTGATCGTAGACCCTAGAGGATCTTTCTAAACATGTTTTTTTTTTAAATCGTGGCTGGTGGTTGAACAGATGTTTATTGATTTATTGCTATAAATTTGGTCTTTATTGGGAGAGCTTGTATGAAGCTAGATTTATTTTAGTAAAACGCTCGATTTTCAACAAAATAAGTGTCATACGAATGATCTTTATTACGACTAATTTTATTTCAAGAAAATAAGGTTTTTCAAGACAAGATGTTTTAAATTGCTCTAACTTTTTCTCAAACTCACCCAAATATGCCCAATACTCAACCAATAACACTAGTTTACAAAACAACATAAAAAGTGTGAACTTTAGTGGTTGACCAACGTTTCTAATGCAAAATCTTACGCTGAATTCAATGCCGTGGTCAGAAAAAATTAAAATAGAGCCATTTTTGAGATATACAAAAATTTTGATTTTTTTAATTTAGGACAAAAGTACAATTACTAAAATGTCAATATCTTTCGAACTAGTGCACCAATTTTAAATCTTTTTTTTATGAAAGTGAAGCTAAATAAATTTGCTATCGTTCACTTGAATATTATGTCTTAATTAAAAATTTAATTTTGAAGTCATTTGAAAATTTACAGCATTTTTTTTTTTATTTTTCCTGCGAATTTTCCATAAAAAATTTGTTTTAATCAATATTTT